CGATGCCAGGGGTGGTGCCAGGGGGGGGCCAATGGGGTGGCAGTCCTATGGCAGTCCCATGGAGTGTTTGGGTATGATAACACTATTTGCCCCCCCACCATGATTTCTTGCATCCTTTGGTTGGTGCACATGGTGGGGATTTGGGAAGCACTCCGTTAAAATTTGAGAGGCCCGTGAGTCACTCTAGTAAAGTTTGTCCAAGCCATGCTGTAAACATGACTGCAATCCAATGTATGGTATGCTAAAGATGAGTCCTTTCCCACTGTAGCATCACCCAAACCGCTTCTAGGAGATGTAGTTGTGTGTTTAGACTTTAGACTCTCAATTGATGCCTTTTTTCCAGTCTGCCAGGCGCCCACAAATTCAAAACCATGTTTCCAGCACGCTCAAGTTCATGTCGTGCCTGCCCAAACAGAAGCATGTTGACCGGAGGGTTGTTCCGAATCATGTGGCAATGGCTCAAAGACAAAGACACCAACCAAACCGATCAGCGAGATAGGCATGCTCACATCCGTGGTTTGCAGGTTTGTTTTTGACCACCCAGGAACGGCCAAGAGGTGGGGACCTCGTGGGGCTCAGGAGCTTCCGCTCTTTGCATCTCAGCCACTCTTCCATCCGGCTCAGTGATCGCGGCGAAGGCATTCCTAGAAGCTTGCAGCTGGCGCACCTGCCTTAACAGATTCGGCTTTTTGATTGTTTTTACCGAAACGAAGAAATCCAGGTCTCACAGAGTGGATCGATGGAATGCTCTGTATCAAACACCTCCATGAGCACAAAGCCTGCAATCTTCACCAAGCTTTGTGTGATATATAATATGATATTATATATATTATATATATATATTTAACAATATCATTTAAGCTTTAATATCAAAACAATGAAGAATCTGGACTTGTTGATGATGGAAACTTCATGCGAACACGGACCACCAAGCATTTGTGGGTCTTTGAACCTTCAACAAATGGACGGAAAGTGCTTTTCGCAGCGCCGGGACTTGAAGCCAAGCGATCGATTGGGTTCCGGGACCGCTGCAATACACTGCCTTGCCAAACATGTGATTGAGGGACCCACAAAACACAAATACAACAATTGATTTTAAGCGATGTAATTAAGTAGGGTCCCACAATGGATTCTGGTGTGAAGTGGGTTGCTGTGCAAACAAAGCGCTGGAGGGCCCCCCCATTACAAGCACAAACAAAGCCCCGAGCATCCCCGAGCAAAAGCCCCCTTGCCAAAGTGTTGATTTTGCAGAAGTTTGCTTTGGGAAACGGACTGCGAGAGCGAACACACTGTACATTGCAGTAAAATCTTGCGAAAGTTGGGAGATGTTAAGAGCTATTGTCTATTGTTGGGATATCATGGCTTCATCTTGGGCAACCCTGTTGGGCTGATCTATCTCGCCATCTTGGGCTTAGATGGGCATAACAATGAATGCAACACATTCTAACTGTCGAAAGGTCAAGAGCAAAGCTGGCCACATGCGTTTCGCAACAATTCACAAGATCGGTGTTTTGTACATGTGCCTTCCATTGTTAGGCTGTCCTCCACGGTCTAAGGCGCCTATCGCAGTGAACCATGTGACGGGTTATGTTGACCTCATCTTTGGGCCGTGTGCGAGGAGAAAGAGACCTTGATTGAGCTGGTTTTGGAGCAGAAAACACCCTCTTTTCCACGGTTCCTCTGCATGAATTGCTCTTCTTGGAGTAAAAGCATCCCCCAAGTCAGGCACCAACTGAGTTGGTGTCTCCATGGACGCCTCGCCATCGCCACCCCTGAACGCCACCCCGCCTCAGCTGCTCCTGAACGCCTCGGCTATCACCGCCACGCTTGCAGTCGCCCCAGGTGCTCACCGCGCCGTTCGCCGACCGGGCGGCAAAGGCGCCACCGTTGAAACCATCCACCGACTGGAGCTCCTCGGCACGCGCCGGGCGACGCACACGGGCTACGACCTGGGCGGGAACGCCACTCAAGTCGTAGAGCTACTCATTGGGCCGCAAGAAGAGCGACAGGAAATGGTTGGTGTCTTTTTGTTTGAGAAAATCGATCTGACAGGTTGTGCGTGTGGAGAAGCTCATGGAAGCTCTATGTTTGGAGCAGGACACGGACACATGATAAAGCAAAGTGCAAACAAACAAACTCACATCAAGCTAGCGTCCTTAGCTACAAAAAAGAACACTCATTTCAACAAATGCTCATTCAAGCAAAAAGCGCGTACACACACTCAAAAAAACAAACATGGATCCCTCTCATATCTAACCCATTTTGGGGTGGTTCGCAACTTTTCAAATTGCACGTGTTTGCTTGCGGCAATTTGTGCGCATGTTGCGGGTTTCCATCTTTGGCCCAAGAAGACTTCCGTGTTCAGCATCTTAAAATACACTCATTTCATCAAAACAAACAAAAATGTACTCCGTACTCCGGTTTCAGCGTTGGGGATAGTCATACAACTTTTGCTTAAATGAGTATGTCTAAGTATGTGAAACATGTCTGTCTCAAAACCCTCCAGTAGTTGCTACAGCCAAAGAACAATGTCTGCTTCACCCTAAATTGTAAACAAGTACAGTTCATGACAGTTCGCACTTGGTGTGGCTTAAACTAGCGATACAACTTCTCCCAATCTCACATCGTGAGCAACTCAAATGTTCAAAGGAATGCAGCTTCCAACCCTTCCAACACCTCAACAAGATCCCCCTCCAAACAGCCCTTTGAACGGCCCCCGTGCTCGGACGACTCCTCACCTCCACCGGCTCCAGCAACTTGGGCCGCTCGATGCCGTAGTTCGGGTCGCCCAAGCCGGCGCGCTCATGGCCCCAGGTCACCACAGCCCCATCCTGGATGCACATTGGCTGGATCGGAAGGATGCGTCTGATGGCATTTGGCGTGGATTCCACTCCCCCCCAAAATGAACATGTTGATGGTGGGAAGAAGGGCACTCTAGAAGGTGAAATTGGGATTCACCAGTTTTCAGCAACTTGACGTGTTATTTTCATGTCCAGATGAGCTAAAGGATTGACCTGTGGAAAAGAAACCGCACGCAAAACCAAGCATCACAGGTCACTGCCGCAAAGGAGCTGCCGAAGCAAGTGTTGCAGGCCTTCGATGGAACCCAACAGATCTCAACTGGTTTGGAACCTTCGTTCCCGGCGTTCAGCCTTCGGTCCGGAAGTGGGCGATGTGCCCTGAGAAAGTGCTGTGAACAATCGGTTTGGTTCTGATCAAGTGCTGACCTTGAGGCAGTGAGACTGTGAGCAGTGAGGCAGTGAGCTTGTATTTCAGTCATCGTGCAGATTCTGCAGTTTGTCATTCATGTCACATGTCCATGGCGCCAATGCCTTGTCAACCTACCTGCTCTTTGCATCCTATATAACTACCCTGTCACTTCATCCTGAACCACACCCGGCAGCCCCGTACCTTAATCTGCTTCACATTCACCAGCTGCTCCTGGACGCTACAGCTGTCACCCCCAAAGTTGCCATCGCCCCAGCAGCACACGGTGCCGTCCGCCAAGATCGCGGCAAAGGCGCGATCGGAGCTCTGCACGTGTTGGATCTGCGTGGTCTCCAGCAGCGCTTGAACCTCACTGGAGTGTTCGGTCGCTGTGAGTTCGGCGGGAGAGGCAAAGGACTTTAAAATTGTTAACGCTACGTTCGGGGCTGCTGGCATCGCAACGAACGGAGCGATCGGACGCTATGATCACGGGGCTCCTGGCCGCTCCTACGAACGGAACCAGAGGACGCTACGAACGGAGTGTGTGTTGTTCAGCGAGGTGGAGGCTTCTGTTGTGGAGGCTTCGTCTGACGGAAGCTGGATTTGGATTTGGGATTAGGGCTGATATTTTCTCTGAAGCTCTGGAGCAGGATGGAACTGCCTTATGGGTTGTTCATCAACAACTCCAGAATTTCACTGGAATACAAGTAGATTTGCACTCATTTGATACAAGCCATGTGGATATATCATGGATATATTTGGATTGGATGCTCAGTGTCCACTTGGTGAAGGGGGGTTGTTCATCAACTGAACTGTGCCAGGTTGCGGTGTCACCCTTGAGGGTTTGATGACACAAGCTAGGAAGTAGTTTATCCCGTTCCTTCCCAAATTGGACAGTCACAAAAGCCATCTTCAAGCCAGTTTCTTCCGGCTTCCGGAAAAAAAAAGAAACACACACCCTAAAAATCAATTGGACCCTCCTATGGAGGGTTTTGACCCTGCATAGCAGGGGTTTGGACCCTCAAAACCTTCACCTTTGAGGGTCCTTGATTCTTAGGGCAAACACATACTGCCCGTCACTGACTCACAGACTGTCCATCACTTGGTTTACACCTCTCCAAAGACCATGGGTCCGAACCCTCCGGAGAGTCACCTTGCTGCAGTCGCCCCCGTAGCGAGCAGGGCCCCAGGTGACCACGCCACCTCTCGGAAGCTCGGAAGCTCGGCCGGGGTCGAGGCGCCGAACCAAGGACGTTGGAGCCGAGAGGAGTCCGGAGCCCCACGACGATTCACGACCTGAGGAAGTGAAGCTTCCAGGTGAAACGAATGAGAGACCATTTGGTCAGTTGGCCTGTGCCGTGTGCCTGGCAAAGACATGCAGAATATGGGTCATATATGGTCCGTTCGCTTGGTGCTCTCCAGATGGTTGTCTATATAGCATAACCTGGCACTTCCGTTGCCACATCAGGCCCTTGTGGGAGATGTGCGAGACCTTCCAGCCTATTTAAAGGGCAAAAATGATTGCTTCTCGCTGAATGGCCTGGCTTGCGGCCGACCTGGTGCCTGGAGATGGCATTCCGACTGATCGATTAGCCGCCGCCCTTCACTGAAACACACCCCTCGTACAACGTTTCGATGTCTGCAAACTATCAGGACCCCAAAACCATCCAAAACCCACTACTTTGCAAATGAACACATCGTCTCCCAAGCTTCAGCTTTGCAGGGCGCAGGGGAACTCCCATCAAACCATACATTCCCTACACAATTCTGAACAGGATGACATTTCAATCAATTCAATCTCTGTTGGTAAACATGTACAGTAAAAAACCATGCACTCCCTTTGGTGTCTTGGTGTCTTCAGGCCGCAGCAAGCCGGCCGCATGCCGGCGGCCTCCCCACCACAGGACGAAGGCCCGTGAGGTGGACGCCATCTTCGGCCAGTCGGCGATGGCACCCACAGTGTCGTGGTCATGGAGCTTGGCGCTCTGCAGCGACAGGTGCTCCTCAAGGAGGCCATCGGGGCCAATGAGCCTGGTGGCCGGTGAGCAGTCGGACTTGATTTGAGCCTGGAAGGTGGGCTCTCTATGAGCCTGGAAGGTCTACTTATGGCCATAGGCGAGAGCCCGTTGGTCGGTGGTCGGTGAAGTTACCCCGACCTGGGACCCAAAACGCGGAAGCGGAAAGCACGGAGCTTGAGTTTCAAAGCCTGAATCCCGAACAACCATGCAGTATATTGTTTCACTAAGGATTTTGCACTAGGGTGTATGTCTTTTGGGACCTCGGATGACCTCGGTATGAGTGGAAACACCTCAAATTCCCCGCTGCTGCCACCACTTGAATGGTTGTATAAGCTAGCTAGTTGTGGAGCACTGAGCTCTGAAACATCAAAAAACAAAAACATCTCTCCTCTGGGCCAGGCTTTACTGGAGGAGCTATGCATTCTGCTCATGGATAAACATGCAACGTTTGTCGCATGGCCATATTCATTTGATTGATGCTCCCAAAGCCTATTATACTCAGTAATCAGAGCGCAGAACACCTGGAAACACATGCACCCATACATTGCTTCAAATGTCTCCGATTTGGGCACTCCATGCCCATGCCACTGTTGCTTCGAAGCCTGGCCCACCCCATCAGCCTCACTGGTCGCCCCAAAGCTTTCTCCGCACCCGATCGCAGCTCGGCCACGGCGCTGTCGGGCGGAAACGGCCCCAGCTCGCAGGAGAGGCCACTGGGGAGGCACACGTGCAAACGAAGCGCCATGGAGATTCGGGACCAAGAAGAGCGAATTTCTTTGTTTTGCAGTAGACAATACCAGTATTCTTAGCCATGATGGTATGTCAGTAATTACATGTTAGTACGTACCATAACAAAGAGGTCGAGTCATTCTCTTCAAGAGCCCTTTCTCATGAAGCCCATTGATATTGCAGGGGCAATTGGTCGCAAGTTTCAGGAGTCTCCTAACACAACCAAAACCAACAAAAGTTATCAACCAGCTCGGTAGCAGCAATTTCCTGCAGTTTCATATTTGGGCTTCAGGAATGTGTTGTCTCGCTGCCCAAAACAGCGTTGACGTATCACATGTAAAGTTCAAGGGTCACATACAGGGGCAACCGTGGCAACCCATCAATTCAGGGAGCCTGTCTATGTTTTTTTTGCAGCAAATATCAATGATGCTTGGAACAAACACAAACCAAAGCAAAGTCATTATACTTGACCCACCAAAAAAACCGTTGGTCCCAAGAGAAGGTTGTGAGAACTTGCCCAGACTTCTCCACATCCTCCAGACATGAAGCATCCACTGAAATGATGCTGCGAGGGGAAGTTTCGACCTTTTTCTTCTGAGGATGTTGTAGATGACGGGCCGAGGTTGTTTTAGCCAGGTTTGCTCGCAATAGTTTGCCTGCAAATCCCGGTATACACAAGTGTGCCAACAACATCAACCAACCATTCATAGTTACATCATACATGACATCTGAGGGTGCAAAACACATCTAAGATGTTGTGGAGGTTCTGAGTACCATGCTTCGTGAGTCGCGTTTCCATTGAAGATCCATAGGACCCTTCCGGGCCACTCCAGGCCAAGCTTCCGGGCCGGATCCAATAGCTGGAAGCGCCCGGATTTCAAGCGACTGGGCGACTGAGCGACTGTCGTCGTCTCGATCGAAGGATCGGTGTGTGTGTGTGTGTGTCGCACACCCCACCCTCCTGGAGTAGAAGGAGCAAATTCAAACACCCTAAGTAGAAGGAGGGAACTGGTCAGGACCTTGGGATGTGCTCAGATTCGATGAGCAGCATGGTTCGGAGATCTATATTCCAGGAGCGGTTCGCCTGATCCGTGTTTCTCTTCTTAGCAATTGCTTCTACCGTAGTCGTCCAAGTTCATTGTTTCTGAGGAAGTAAAACTCGGCAAGGTCGAAGACATTCACACGCATTTACGGAGTACATGTCAGCTGCGGTTTATATATCCACCAGAAAAGTATCGCAGCAGGACAAGACTGTGAAGTGCCAGGCCCCCCAGACTGGAAAACCTTGGAACTGATCAATCTCAAGCCAGGGATTTCTTGGTGCTGTCCAAGAAATCCGATACAATTTCTTGAAGGTCCACCACTGATTTTGGATGATGGGATACCCATGATCTGTTCATCTCCAAGGATCTCTGGCTCCAAAGATCTGTGTCTGCACTTGAATAGGCAAACTGTTCAAACAAAACATCGAAGGAAGACTCTAAATCTCTTTGAAGGGACAGGTACACCTCGGGCCTGGACTCTGCCCCAGATCCCACTCATCTGCCCAAAATTCAGCAGGCGGGCCCAGGCAAGCACGGCCAAACCACTCAGTACCACTGGCCATCGCCATACCACTCTGCTAAACCTTAAAGTCTCATGTGAAAGTGGAGACCACCGCTGGTCCACCCATGTCCCTCTGGTGCCACACTGGGGTCTCCAGACCAGCTGCCCCACTTGCGCTTCGGGCGTTCCAGCCTCGACCCGGTCTAGACCAACGGCTGCACGTTTGGATCTGGAAAATCCATGAGGTGGGTAGATGTCGGTATAGCTATAAAGTCATAAGGTCATATATAAAACCTTGTAGATGCAACTGATTTGCATCTCCATGTTTTTTTAGTGGGAATCCATCTTCGAAGCGTCTTTCTTCGAAGTCGGAGATAGAAGAGATCGGCCGGACTGGTTGGCCTCTGAAACCACTCACGTGAGAGCAATAGTTGTTCGGTTGAAAGACATGAGCCTTGAACCAAATTTCTCCACGTCCACCACCACGGCCATCATGTCCTGCCGGCTTGTAGAGTCTTTCAGAGATCACCGAAACCATGGGAGCACATGGCAAGTAACATTATGTAACATGTATGGTCGTTTTGTGAAACTCAATGTCTCTTGCTTGATGATGCTTGATGTAGTTTTTAGTCATTTTCTGCCAAGAACTGCTGTTTCGTGGGTTTGCCTGCCACTTTGGACCTTCAGTAGTGCAACAAAAAATGTTCAAACCTTGCGCTGTGTCGTCCTATTGTTCTTTTTTTTGGAAGTGTCATTGTTGGTCATTTCCGCCATTCTATCCAACATCCCAAAAAGTGTTTGCTGATGCTTGCCCCCCTGATTTGCGCTCTATTTGTGTGTGTTAATCATGATTTAAAGATACCAACAAACACATGAAAAAAAAACACACACCAAAACAACAACCTTATAGAAGAATCTTTCTTGCCACACCCACCGGCGCAGGCCGAAGCCTCCGGTCTGCTTTTTGACGCGCACCGGCAAGGACGGACGGTCCCGGACACGGACGGAGCACCTCGCCTCGATCATGGATTTCACCAGCTCTTTAGTGGTGGAGGTCGAATAAGAGAGGTCCGGCCTCGGCGGAGTGTGAGTTTCACCTGCTTTTGTGGGGGTGGTCCTCCCCTTCTTCCGGGGGGGCAAAAGAAGTATACTTTTTGTAAATGCTAACGTTTTATGCTATTGCTCTGATGACAATGTTGTTGCTGCGGTGCTGAATCTGGCTGCCAGAGTGTGCTTTTCTTCATGATTAAACCTTTTAGGACTCGTCTTCTTGCTCTGATCTAGCGTCGTCTTTGATCACCTTCCAATCGGATGAGTGTGTTTTTCCTACTGTCTTTGTTTCCAGTGTTCGTTGGACCCCGTTCGTTGTGCAACCGGAAGGTCCACGCCTCAAGCCACAACAAAATAGGGGCTCTAAAATGGTCCAAACATCTATGAGAAGGCCATATACTTGAAGTCGCCACCATGGCTTTTGCCAAGGAGGCAGCGGGCTCAAAGAACAACGGCAAAAAAAGAAGATGCTGCGCCCAACAAATCTCTCCACTGCTGAAAAGGGGAGAGGTGAGTGATTATCGATCTTTATCCATCTGTGTGTTGAGAATCGATCTCATCATCTCTTTTAAGCAGGATTTCGGATTGGCTCATGTTTGCTAACTGGTTCCAAAACTCTGAATCAAGGCAAATTGCAAAGCAATAAACTGAATTTTTACAAACATCCATACTTTTATAGGATCTTACAGACATGTTAATATCTTTCAGATCCCCTTGAGAATCTGCTGGGCCTGCGGTTTTCAATTTTACTAAAAAACTGTTTATAGAATGCTTGGAAAAGGATGCCACCACTATAAAATGCAAATTCACATGTTTATAACATGAAGATTTCTTAGAGGCATATTATGTATCTGTCAGATGTCTTGATCGTCATGTTTTTTTTTTAAACTTGAGAGAGGAGGGGGGTGAACGAAAGGTAGCAGGGAATCAGGCGTAATCCGGGAGGAGGTGAGAGGCCCCCCACTTGTTTGAAGAGAAGTGAGTGAGCGTGATGAAAGAAAGACTAATGCACAAACGCTTGACAAAACCTCCAGAAGCTGTAGCGGTCTAGCGGTTTCAATACAGGTTGACGTGCCTTCAAAAGGAGTCACATATTTCTCAAGTGCAACTTCGGATTTACATAGTGACGTGCGGCGACCCTGTAAATTGCGTGGCCGCAGGCCATGCTTGCAAACAGGACGTGCTCAAAAACACTGGTATTTACGAGGTTTCGTTGCCGTCGATCCACAGCCGCGGCAAGGTCTAAGGCCACGCTTGAAGACAGAAGGAGCTGAAAACACTGGTATTTACGGTATTTTGTAGCCGTCGATCCAAAGGCGCACCACGGTTGAGCGCTGGAAAAGCGCAGAAAACCATGTAAATACCGGCGTTTTCTGCCGGGAAGGTGCACAAAACCCTGTAAATACCATAGTTTTGTGCAATTTTGAAGCCTCCAAAAGCCTCAAAAACCCTTTCTGACAAAATCTTTCCTGGTTTTTGGTCTTTTTTCGGTCATTTGTCTAACCGAGACGCATCAAAAACCATCGGTTTTTGCGGTGTTTTTTGCCGGACAGCCACAAAAAACGCTGTAAATTCCATGATTTTTTGTCACTGCTGAGGACTGGAAGAGCTGAAAACACTGATATTTACAGTGTTTTCGAACGGTTGACCCTGAGGCGCGCTAGGGTGGAGTTGAAAGGGGGGGGGGGGCCCCCCCCCCCCGGCCAGCAAACGAAGATGTCGGGGACCATTTCTCCGAGAGATAGGCTGCAGCTCTGGGTTAATACATTTTTGCTAAAGCAAAAGGAAAACTCAGGTAGCGTAACCGCTACCTTTCGTGATAAAATGAAGGGACCGGCTTCCAATGACAAGCACAAGATAGCGCTGGGACACTTTTTGGCTATGCGAGATGCGGACACTTCAAATGTGTTTAAGGGTTTTATTGTCGCATCGGAAGGCTCGAACACTTGTTTTGGTGGTGTCTCAAGGGTATCCAAACTGAAGTGACACGAGTACCTCATTTGTCTTTCAGATTCTTTCAGTTGCTTTCCGCAGATGTCCATTCCACAACCACACTTCACCAAGCAACACCAAGCAAATGTGCTCAGAACCTCTTCTTTGTCCCGAGGCTACAACATGACCGACTCGTGGTCGCACCAATCCACCCCCTTTCAACACCGGGTCCACCATGCGAAAACGCCATGCACGAACGGAACCAACGAAAGTTCTGCACCCTCTGTGCCCGGGCGAAGAGTTGATTTCGATGAGCCAAACGTTGAGGTCCTTCCAGCAGCGGCGCTGCGGGTCGAACGCCGAAGACCTCCGTTTTCACGGAGGCCGGTTGGAAGGGATGTGATTCACTTTTCCACCTTGGGGGTCGCTATAAAACAATATTAACGTATATATATATATAGTATATATATAGTTATATATATATATATGCGAGGGGGAGATATTCTTCAGAGTCTTGTAATCTTTGTGTCATCCCCGTTCTCAAATCTAGCAACATCTAGCAACCATAATTGCTTATGAGTGAACGATGGTGAACGACACGAGTGAATCAACGACTCTGCGCTTCTTGTAGTTGTGATTCTTCTCGGCCTTGATATCAAAGCAGCTGATAAAAACCAGGTGATCACTACAGGTGAGGTCCTGTCCCTGTGCCCTACTGGTTGGGTGAGCTTTTTCGGAGCCAATCCAACCAATCCATGGACCGGTCAGGAAGGAATTGGTCACTGCAGTTTTAGATTCTGGGAGTTGACTGCCAACCACATCACTTTGGTATCCATGTCCTCCAGGCAAACAATATTATACATGTAGTCCACGTGTGTAAGGGAGATGTAAAACCCTTGCGAATCCACCAATGCACCCTGACAATGGACCCCGGGAAGAGTATGTTCCTTTCATCTTTTCTGCGGGTAAGTGCACTATGTCCTATGCCTATGGCTATTGAAACTAGCCTTGACTTTGACAGGACAAAAACTCAGTTCATCATTCATCATACTACTAGAACAAATTGCCAAGAAACCTGTACTCCCTCCAACAAACATACTCAGAACGCCGCGCACCGCAGCTTTTGGTTTGTTCCGCCTTGCTCCCCCATGAGTTGACGAACGGGCGCCCGCATGTTCTTGCGGTCAACGACCCATAAAGGGCAGTCCAAACAAATGGGACAAGTCGAGGAAGATTTGTCCCACTGGGACAAACATCTATGAGTCTATTCTATGAGACATCAAATTTGATTAAACATATATGAGAACAAGAGCCCTTGCTTCATTCACGACGAATACCACATGGTGGTGTTACTGATTCAGCTGGAATGAACGGTCGATTGTCTCCCAGTTTCCCACTGATGCAAATCAGGAGACGGGAGATGAACCGTGTGGGAAGTCGGTTAAAGTTGAGTGGCAAGACCTGCTTATATGAGATCTAAGTAAGATACACTAGTGATACTCAATCCAATAAATCCAATGTTGATGCAATGGATAGTTCCATTGCCACAAAAGCGGTCACAAAATCACCTTGGGTTTTCATCATGCCAGCACTATCCCGAACAAACATAAGTCAGTAAGACATCACAAAACTCTTGTAACAAGGACATCCCAGCTCTTGCGCTCCTGATTCAAACGGACTTCCTCCCATGGGTTGATATAGAATCTCTCCATATATTGTTGTCTTTTAGTTCCTCTCAGATCGACACTTGGACGCCACATAGGGGTAAGGTGTGAGACCAAGCGCTTTCTGGCACGTGCATCCTAGGCGCTGATCAGCCTCTGGAGAGTTGACATGTTTCTGCCATGACCTGGTACAAGTAAGTGGTGATATAAAATATATTAAACATATTAATATACCACCCCACTTCTCTTGATTTGTCAGCGAAGTACTTTGAAGAAAATGAGGGACATCCTCCATCAAATAGGCAAAAGCAAGACTGTCTGGGCCTCAAAACTTCACTGCATCCACTAATTCCATTTCCCTTTGGACAACCAATCCTCTCCACCTCATCCAAAAGGCTGACGGAACGGATCATACTTGAGGATCGACAAGGAAGCAGCTGTGGAAAACACAGGAAGTTGTTTCGAATATTTCGGCGTGATGCTGACTTTGAGGTTCTTCTTGGTTGGCCCCTCTGGGAAAGAGTTTGGTTTCCACAAGGCACACTATCACTGGGTATGCATCTGCACGAGCCAGAAAAGGCATCTTCGATAGGCAAGGTCAAATTCATTGGACCAGCCCGACAATGTGCTTGGATTCTGCCCCACCACACGAAAACCATATTACCTTGCGTGCTCCCCACCGAAGTGTCGATTTGAAGAATGCAGGACACATTGTGCTGACAGACTATTCTGACAAATGCGCACATGCGCATTTGACACGCTGTCCGGCCACTTGTTCTGCATCAAGCGTGGTATGACATAAAAACTTGAGACCCTCACCTGATAGGTGGATAACAAACTGGATGTGATTCGCAACAAACTTTATTGCTTCTGAATCAGCAAATCAAACTTCAACCGGGTGAGTGGATTCGGGCAGACTCCAACATGTGCCATTGATTGGGAGATAGGATTGAAGATCCTTTTTGGGGTTCATAGACATGTGTTCACCAAGCTGGAATTAGTCAGATTGGGCCAAGACATACTACCGGTGGTTCGTGTTCTGTTGCTGCCACAGTAGCCAGGCACATATTAAAGCACACTTGAATCATCATAAGTGGCAGTCAATCGATTGGAGGATCTATAGGCTCCAGTATAGCATATGGGTGGCCTGCATTCTTTTGGCAGACTTTTGTAGTTCATGTGCTTGTCAAGATTTGTCCGGGCAACTCTGCTTGATCCCATCTCGCTTGGCTCTTCAGCATTCCATCGTCCGGCGGAAGTGATGGCCCTCAGCTGTTGCCCTTGCACTACGATGCATTTATCTCTCAGGTGGCTGAATGTACACGTGTACTTCTTGCACTTGTATTTCTTGTATTTCACTTCAAAATTTATGGTGGTGCTCATTGAGCTCATGTATGTTTTTTGGCCAAGCGGTTCATCTTCCAGCCCTTGGCCACGGCGAAGGGCAGAGGGACCAGAAGGGACCAGCATGGATCCATCTCAATTGCAGTTCCAAAAAGAAACAAACCAATGACCACATCATGCTGTCGGACATGACGGTCTGGCCAAACGGCCTGTGAAGTCCTCGTTTCTTTTTGAAACAACATGAAACAACTGCTTGCGCTGGCTTGTAGAGCAAAGCTATCCACACACATGACGAAGGGATAAAAGGAGGCAACTCCTAAAAAGCCTCAAAAGTATTCCTGGAGAACCTCACAAGTGCAAACCCACATAAACAGTCACGCGAACCCCAGAAACTGCGCACCCCTTTTCTTCATTTACCGCATGATGCCCCATGATACACATACATGGGGCTCCATTAGATCCATTCAATTCTGGGGCTCCAGCACATCTGTGTGAGGAATGAATCCAATTCATACCCATCAAACAGCTGGGCATCTATTCAAACAATGATAGCTTTGTCTTCAAAAGTCACCGCGGACCTTAAACACCAGCCCTGGAAGGAACACCCCCTTGTCGGCTCCAAGGCTTTTGTGCAACGGCACGCTGCTCGAGACCAGGTCGACCGCTGCTTGGTGTGTCGACCAGTCCAACCAGTCAGGACCAGCTGGGTTTCCACTCGGAAGCAATGCACCGGGCAGGTTTGTCTGCCTAGTTTTGTCTGGAATGCTGTGTCTGGTAGGCAGAAAAGCTTCAGAGAGAGGTTGAAGAATACTTCTATACTAACAAATCTAACATATACCTATATACTTGTATGAAAAACTGAACCAAAAACCAACTGCCCACTCATAATTAAACGCTTGTAATTAGGTGGTGACCAATCATGGCAATAATGGCAAGCCCCAACAACTCATTCCCGTTGCTTGCCACGTGTCTGCAGCTCGCTAGAGCTGAGTCTCCATTCCATCCTTGGCTGCATTTGGTTCTGGCCGCCCACAGGCTTGGTCATTCTCGACTTTTGCTGCTGGAATATCGGGGGATTATTTTTGCTCCTCTGCAAATAACATAATTGAACATATTCCTTATGGCAGGACAAGAGGTGATCCATCCGTGATCCATCCAACTCTTGCTTCTTTGAGGGGTGGTTTTCAAGCCCTCGTGCCTTCACTCCACAGGAGTGTTATATGGGGGGCGGACAAAACTTCTTGGTGTCCCAATGCCTAAAGTATTTTAGGTTGGCCCCTATCAGTTTCCAGTGGTTGAAAACCATCTGAAACCAAAGGACCTGCTATATGTTATTGGGGTCTATGATTCTATACTGGTCCACTTTGGGATAGCATGCTGTGTGAGATCAAGATTGCAACCACGCGGGCTGTGATTCTATGGTTTGATGCCTTTATTTCGCTCCCCGGGTGAATAGAATGACCACTCTCGGGGCTGTATGTGAATTCCAGAGTGATCCCCCAGACCCCCCCAGGGTTTTCTCCAAACAGCCAAGCACATTCTTGAATCACGCTCCATGGGTTCTGAACGGCCTCAATCCCGGGTCCACGTTTCATAGGGGAAATCCACACCCCTACATGTTTTCCTATGTTTTCCTTCCTCTCCTTGTGTTTCTGGGCTGGTTTTGTTGGACACCCCTGAAGCCTCATGCTGCATCACTGGCCGAGGTGCAATCAATTCGGACAACGGGATCTGCCGCTGCGGATCCGGAGGCTGATTGGCACGCGCGCTGGTCAAGGCCCTTAGGTCCGAAGGCAGTGGCAGGTTTGGGTGAAGCTGTTTGGTCAGGGCATGTTCTACTTCCATGTAAATCACAGTCGATGAAAGTGTATGTACACACCCCAAAGACAGAACATGGACATCAACAAAGGCTGGAAGACCATGAGGATTTGGCTCTGATCACGGTCACTAAACAAGCTGGGGCCCCCCCGACTCAGCGCCAACCATGACGGACAAGACGTCCGGCCTAGACTCTGGTCAGCAACGGCCAGAGAACTCCCCTCTGGAGAACAGTTGGAAAGTTGGAAGGAAGAGTGTTCGATGGCCGAGACATTAAGTTTCAAGGTACACTTCCGCTCTTATACATGGAAGCCGGTGACTAAAAATTGCCTAAATACATGGCAGAATGAAATCCAAGGAAATGCAGAAGAGTACACAATTTGAACCAAACATTGATTAGAATTGAAGAGCTTCAAAACGGTCACTTCTGGGTGCATAATTCCGGAGCAAAGGTTCATAGGAATCTATGGCAGCCAACTCGTCAAAGCCTCGAGGTGCCTATGACACATTCCAACATTCAACAAGACCAAGCACTTCACAAACACAGACTGTGCCAAGTAGACTACGATGGTGAACTGTGCCAAGTAGACTAGACTGGACCAGCTGTTCAGCTCAGTTGTGGGCCAAAACACCCCTACTCTGTGCTTCGATGGTGGGAAGCAATCTTCACTCCGCGGGATTCACCACGCACCCGGTTCGACACCCTGCTCGTCCCTATGGGCCCCCCCGAACAGGGCCGGAATCTGGTCGCCTGAAGTTTGGACGGCCAAAAGCACGGTTTGGTCGTGACCGGTGTGGGCGGAGGTCGATTGGTTTTGGGATGTTTTGGGATGTTTTGGGGTGGGGCCCTGGTAGGGAAAGGTCTTTGAATCCTGAGCAAAGGTAAAGAAACCACGGAGCAAGCGGCTTGGTGGCTTCGAAGCTCCAAACAGTATACAAATCTGATTGGGACCTTGAAGAGGTCGGAGAGATCATCGGCGGCGAGTTCGGCAGTGCTGAAGTGGCGTACTGGGTCAAAAAGACCCAGGAAACTCAACACCATTGGGTCCTGCCATTGCAAGCTGGATCTGATTTGGACATCCTGGTCTGGGACTGGACCAGACATGGAGGCATCTTTGGAGACAAAGCGCGCTTTGTCTCCAAGAACACCTAGCTGCCAGCTAGAAATAGAAGCCAATCCTCAGTCCCCACTGCAGTACCTCTTTAAATATCATTCAAGGACGGAATAGGATGTAGCACCGATGATCTTCGGCATCCTTCGCTTCTTGTCCCTGGCCTTCAAGGATCATTAAAGGGAAAAGATTGACCTGGTGTTGCAATCTAAAACATATTAAAACCATGGCTGTTGTTTGTTGAATCGGAGGGTTAAAACCATTGAGACATACCAGACATCCGTCTTCCCCATCGCATTCAAGACGCTCATGGTCTTGAGCCAGCCCATTGACCTGGGAGGGTGCCATGGAGATCGTGGTGAGCCAAGACAAACAAACACAAATACATATGACTGGAAGAGGTGTTCTACATATGTCTACATGGACCTCTTGTTGAAGAAGCACCCCTTTCGGTAGAGGAGGTATACCAGCACCTCAAAGTGACCTTTTGAGATCACAGGATGAGGTCACAAACAGACCTGGACTTAGGTCAGAAACAAAGACTCCAAAGAGGTCACTTTGAGAGCCGTCGAAACGGGGTGGCCCCTTAGAGGTTAAGAATGTTTTTGACGTGTCCATGAATGAATTTCGAAACGGAGGCCCTGGAGGCCCTGGTAGATTCATAGAATATCCTTTTGTGGCCACATGGTGTGAGAAGGTGTCTGGAAGGCAATTCGTGGTATTTCAGGTGGCTTTGGAGGGTCCAACCATATCTTCAAATCCATGCATAGCGCGTGTTGACATGATTCTGATATATGTTGAGTCCATTTCAGTCCTGATCTTCGCCAAACCGTTTGGTTCTCCCCGTTTAATACTCAAGAATGGACATCCTGTAGATTAAGAAGTTGCAAGAAGACATGCAAGCACAACAATAACAGCAAACAGGCAAAATCATCCTTCACCCTACTAAAGGTTCTCCTCTGTTTTTGTAAGTTCCAGTGTCAAACAGCCTGTACCCCGCTTCGGGGTCCGTCCCCGGTTCCGCGGGACGCTCCGATCGCGTACCGAAACGGGTGAACCGAACCCACGCAGCGGTTTCCCGGGTGTCCGTGCTGCGACTCCGAGCCTGGTGAACAGGGCGGTGCATGATGATGGAATGAGGAGATGCATGGAGATGCCTGATTCCAATTTCTATGGCAATCGATCTTCTACCTTACCAAGCCAAGCTCTTAACTCAGCATCTTCCCAAAGACTCATTATTTTCAGTATCGCTGCTTGCCGCAATGAACATCTTTGTTAGCCAATACTGATGATGGACACCACCTCAGACACACGGGAGATCTCCAATCCTCTGTAATCACTTCTTACCAACGGAACAACTAGTGGTTCATATGGGCAGAAACTTACTTTGAACCCCGTAGATCTCAGAAAACCAGTTCCAACCCCCAGCTGAATTCTATAGATTACTAAACTGGTCAAATTCCAAACCTTTTAGATGCTTGGATGTTCAGTTACGCAATGAATGTCATGAATTAACTTAATGCATAATATGTTCCACCTGACGGTTGCAAAACAAAATTATACATACTATACTCCTTGATTGTCCTATGGGTCTGTGGATGTTCATTCTGTAAACACACAGGATTTATGATATGTGTGTAAAGGATATTCTCACTATAAAATGTTTTGGTATGTTTTGGTTTAGAGACTTAGAGATCTATCGTTTTTTTATATAATGCCAATACATTACACAGTAGACATGTTCAAATTTGGAGGAAGAAGGCCTGCTTACCCAAATGCATAGTCTGCATAGTGCAGCATCACTTAACCAAAGTTGAAAGACACCATCTCCAACCAGTTTATTCCAAATGCCTTGCGCAGCATTCAGTTCATGATCTTCCTGGGCCTGAAAAACACAGCCTGCCATCACATTTGACCACGCCCAATGTGTGAAACCCTCTGGATTTATACAACATGTGGAGCCAACCTTCACATGAACCTCAACTAGTAGATGTGCAAAGATCCCAAACTGATGGTTTATAAGCACGTTGGAGCGAGCGGATCGCGAGCATTCCGTAAGCGCAAAGGATCCTCTCATGTCATCAACCATCAGTCAACAGGCATTACATGCCTTGCCGTTCATTTCCCCAGGAGCGCATCCGAACCTCTGGCCTGACCCCCGGTCCTCTCTGGCCGTCAAATCCTGAGAAGGGACCGGCCGGGCACGCTCGGTGAGCTCCAGCTCCGTGGTCCGACGTCCGAGTCCCAAAGTTCAAAGGATCCGAATGGAGGTAGACTGACCCACTGCCAGCTCGGAAGGTTCCGAAGTGGTGTTATGAGATCCCTTCTATCAAGCAGCACAGGATGAATCCAACTTCTCCCAACACAAAATATCACAAAACACAAGACACTGCGGACATCTCCCCATTCCTTGGGTTTTGCTCGCGACATGCAGTCGCATCTTCCGTGATGTCCGCGCCTGCGACGCAGGGGACATGCTCGGCCGCCCAGTGCCTGGCGATCATCAACCCGATGACACTTCGATGGTCACAAGACCCTGATGGTGATTTGTTGTTCACTGGCTTCAAAAAACCACGAGTTCGCTGCCCTCCAAGCATCGGTTTCTACGCATCATCTCCAATCTACAGGCTTCTTTTCCATGGAGTGCCCTCAAGTATATTACCAGTAGAAGGACAACTCCCCAGTCGCCCATTCATTTGTTTTCCAAGCACGCCAAGATCGCTGGAAGCGCTGCGGCTGGTGTCCTGTGGCAAATGGGAAGACCTCCCTAGGATGTGATCCTCAATGAGATTAAACAAATGAATCCTCTCAAAACATGCACAATTTTCAACTCCACCAACAGCAAAGGAGGCCTTATTTATGTGAGAAAGACAACAGGAGTACACACTACCCCCAACACACTGAAAACAAGGCTAAAGGCTTCGTGCTTGAAAGGGCCTTTATCAAGGCTACGTGCTTGAAAGGGGCCTTTGGACAACTGCTGCGTTCAGCATATAGATCAGTGGATGGACTGCACATCGCCAATTTTGGAGCTGGTGGTTAGCTCTGGGGTCATCTACTCCTCCCCTACCTGGACTTCTCTCCGGAACAAGGAATCATGTTAACCATGTCGACTTTGATGTCGGCTATTCTCATCGGAGTTGTTGATATGTTCACATACCAATCATGATGTCGGCTTTGTCGATCTCAAAGGTCGACTCCGTCTACACTGGCCTATACGTATGAGAACCCCACCGCCTGTGTACTGGAAACAGCATGGGACTATGCAAACCCCCAAAACGAACCCCCGCGCGCACCCTAGTTCTTTTCTTCTTGCGCGTCATTCCCGACGGACCGTCCTCCGCCAAATTCCCGGCCGAAGCGTAGTAGGGAACCATGACCTCAGTGGAGAAGGCACGACCTACGACTGCGACGACGGTGACGTTTTGTATGTTCTCAGAACCGGTGTTCCACATTGCTACAAGTCCAGTCTGACCCAGGTGTTACCCTGGTCCTTGAACCACCTGGGAGTCCGACCCTGAGGAGTGTTTTTTTGGTGTGACCAGCTCCAAAATGAGGGCAGGGCCCTGGCCCTCGTAGGGCATGGGTACCATGCGTCTGTCACATACTCCAACACCGGTCCGGTGCACTGCCAATTCGGAATGGAGGAACTCTGGACGACAAACGGGACGTATAGTCGTAGGACTGCAGACCTTCCGGAACTGAGGTCCGGTTGGTCCGTAGGACTGAAGGATGAGAAAAGGCATAGCTTCTCACATTTGAACACCCACGGACAAAAAGGCATCCCTTTATGTTCTCCTATGTTCTCCTGGTACCAGCGCTTTTTTTCCTTTGACCGCTGCTTGGCCCCCATTGAACCGTCACCAGCACCAGTAGCTGCACAGTATGGATTGGAAGCACACTACACTTTTCCAGGAACATAGAAGTGTTTCCACAATTCAAAGCTATAAGCATCAATGCGAATCCTACACATATTCTGGACCAGCTCTCCTGATAAGATTCCTCTATCAATCAATTTACATCCCTGATTATGATTGATGAAGCTGCAATATACGCTGCATTATCCTATGTCATCCAAGGACCACAAATCATTGGGAATCTCACTAAGTCCCGGCAGAGTCGAGTTTCTTCCCCCACACAAGCCACTCCCAAAAACACCAAAATGAACGAAACACCCCACAGAAATAGACAAACCCAGCGCGTCCCCCGCATGCGTTTTGCCGCATGGTGCTCTGACGTACCCGCGGCGCCAAGGGGCCACCTTTTCATGCTCCGTCTCTTTGACCGAGTCATTTTCACAAATGGAATTGTCCTCGAGTCTCTCGTCTCTCGTCGATATCGCTCGACTCGACGAGAAAAAACGAGGAAGACGACAGAAAGAGACCCTTTGCCACAGCAAAACAGAATCCACGATCATCTGCCTGCTAGTTGCTTTCGTTCCAGTCCCAGTCTCTGCTTGCTTGACTTGCTATGCCGAGATTTCTGCTTCAGCTAGATTGTGTATGGCTCAGTGAGAATTGCTTGGCTCCCCTTTGGGTGCCCCAAGTACGTTCGTCAATGGTCAACGTTACCAAGGCGGTGCGCTTTGACTCAGATCATAACTCCACTCTTTGACAGCAAATTTGGCCCATTCTCCCATACGGCCAAGCCCTCAAAACCGTGATTGTTTCATCAGCCCAAGCAAGTATTTGCTTTTCGACCTATTTCGTCCTGGTTCACCCTCCACTTCTCTGGCTGAACGACATGTTCGTTTGGTGAAAAACATGTGATTGTGGGTCATGGCACCAGTATACCGACCGGTATGACTTACCTGGGAGGTCAAGCTACGTGGTGTTGGGGACCAGCCCGATGTGAAAATCCAGGGTGTCTCAGCGCTGTCAGCAACGGGGAGCCAAACGCCCAATGGGTGCACCCATTGGCGGTGTGCCAAGTCGTACTGTCGGTACCAGAAATCACTGAGTGAGAACGACTTAAAATTAACACTTACATACTTTTGTCACATGTTATTCGTACGTGTAGTACAGTCGAATGCAGGGTTTTGGCATGCATGTTACATGTATTTATTTCAGCTTGCTCTTAGCTACCTTAGCTACCTTGGCTTCTATCATCCTTGTTGCCCTGACCACTGGGTGACCCCTACCAAGCCATAGCACTGACACCTGCGGGGATGGACGTTGAACTCCCGTCCCACGCGGAGTCATACACGAACAATGTTGACAGTGCCAACCGACAGCTGAAGTGTGCAGGGAAGATCCTGACTCCTATCCATGAGAGTTCAAATCACTCATGTTACCCTGAACTGGCAGTGGTAGATTCTGACTCCCAGGTTTTGCTAAAAATGAGCCAGTGCAAGTTCTAGGTATGCAGAGTCCATCCTTTTCCTTGATGGACACAATCTGGAGACCTGCTAGTTAGATCAAGTTACTAGGCTAAGCCATTCACCCTGAACGATCTGATGGGCATGTCACACCATGGACAGCTCTCTGAGTCCAGGGTTAATGAGGGCTGTGGGTCTTTGTTCCGTGCCCAAAATGGTTCACCTGGAGATGCTTTCCACGGCCTATTAACTCCATCATCCTTAAACCTCAAGTAGAATTCCCCGCTGTGTAGAGCATGGATCAATGGCAGGATATACCCGGTTGCTACATGGTCAGAAATGCTCAGAGCATCACAAAGCCAATGCGCTTAAGACACATCAATGTTTGAGGATGCTTCTTATATATATATATAACTCATCGTCTTCGTCCTCTTCTCATCTTTTCCAAACTTACCAAAATTCCAGTTTAAACTGGCTCTCATCACCTGCATCCCTTTAGGTAAAACTCCTGCAGCAACCTAGTCGTTGGCTTTGAGACTTTGCTTTTCGCATTGAAATCCGGTCGCCTGCCATTGGCCTCCGGCAAAGACCCCGCCTCAGTCGAGCCGTCGGCTGAACCGCGACAACATTGGAACAGTATGGCAGCCTAGTCGAATGTAGCGGAAGTTCTTCGATGCTCAGGGTCGTGTGGGGTGCTGAGCTCCGAATTCTGCGGAGCTCTACCTGTGGAGACACAAAGCGCCAGGCGTAATGCCGCTAGTCCAACCTTTTGGATCTCATACCACGACATTGGCGGGTTAGGAACCCCTTGTCACCCCTACCGTGAACCCCCCAGTAAACCTCCAAGAAGTCAAATTGGACAGAAAACGGAGGCATCCCAACACAAACATTCCCTAACTTCAAAATGTATGTCCCCCCCAACAAAAACGAAGCACCTTAAGCAGGTCTCTCGTCGTTGTACGGATGCTCGCCGTCGACTGAGCTCGCTGCGCCGGGCCGCTTCTCGCCCGCACGGAAGTTCAGCCTCGGATCCGCTGCGAAGGGCGACGCGACCGATGGCGACGGCATGGCATCCCAAGCAAGGACTTCTGGTGAATCCGAGGACTTCTGGTGATGTGATTGTTTGAAGTTGCTTGGAGATTGATGTGTGATGTGTCATGACATGTCACATTGTCCTTTTTTGCTGGACATGAGGAGACACGGAAACCAATGGGTCCGGGTCCAGCGAGTGTACTAACGGCGCGCAGTACAAAACCCAAACACTCCATAATTGAATATCAATCTATATACAGGCCAGGTTCCATTGACCCTGAAACCACCCCTCAATGTATGTAAGTATATATATATATATCATGCCATATATATATATATATGGAGTGACCACCGGAGTGACCCCATGCACACATGGATTCTGGTTTTCTTCTTTTTGCTGTGCTTTCAGGACATTTCTTCATGGACCTTTTTGTTTGTGTAGAGAATTCGTGATCATTTCATGACTTGCCTCCCAAACATCCACCACACCTCTCTGATACCGGTTGCGTTTTGGTCTCCGGCTCCCCTCCGGCGGTCCTCTCCGGTCCTCTCCGGTGGAAACCGAGGCACGTGGCGAGGGCGCCCGAACGCTGGCACAAGAGCTTCGAGGCCATGGTGTCCACGTACTGCGGGTGACATGGACGGATCGAACGGGGAGTCACTGGGGAACCGAGTTTGGAAAGGAGTGGAATTTTATTTGGGGGGGCTGGGTGATCTCACCGCGAGATTTTACAAATGCTTGAAGGTGGGATATACAAATGTTGCTTCAGCATCTGAAACCATATGTGACTACTTGCGGCTTTGGCGCCTTAAATCATTAGAGCGTCTTCAACAGACATTCAGGATCCACAAAAGTCGGTGGAAGTGCCTTTGGCCCAGGGGACACCAATTTGCTTCGCCACGGGCCATGGACGCCGCCCCCCCGAGGTTGGCAAGTCTTCCGCAGAACTGCCAACGGAGAATCCTCACTTTGTATGCAAAAATCTTTCGTGGTCTTGACCCAAAAACATTCGGACTGATATGGACATATTGTCATTGGAATTCATGGGTAATCCCAGGTAACTCCCCAGGTACTGAAAAGGTGTCCAACAACGATTGGTGTATACATATGTCTTGATTACGTGTGTATTATATATTATAGGTAATATAACTTAATAGTTTACATGTATGTCTCTTCCATCGCCGAGCAGGTCAAGATGGTCAAGTCGGTGCTCCTCGCGCTCCAGGTCGATGCGTGAGGCGTTGAGCTCCCTCCGATGCGCCGCCCTCGGCAGTCTTCTTCGGCCCAAAAGGGTCCGGAACCCCGGTCGTGTCATGGGGTTGTACTTCTATGTACTTCTTATATTCTTCTTATTGTAAGGCATGCCTTGGGTGTTAAGGAGATATATAACATGACGATACATGACGTCTTAGAAGAAGTGAATTGGTTCCTAACATCCTCACTTGCCCTCAAAAAAAAACTCAACATGAATTCATGCACTTCAGCTGGAGGTCATCGGTGAAGCAGCTGGGCTTCAAAGACCTCCAAACAATATGAGTCAATGACCAGGCGGCCTGGGACCTCCAGCTGGGCCTGGGACCTCCTGCGCCTGGGACCTCCAAACAGTAAATGCCTTTAATACTACAGAATATCATTTAATCGTCTCCTTTCACCGTCTGCGCTGATCATGAAACCACCCCATGCACCCCTCCTCTCCTTTCACCGCTGGCGCGGGAGATGGTCGTCATACAGCTGCGTCACCGTCCATCTCACAGCGTCCGTCTCCGGTCACCAGCGGTCACCGGGCGAGTCGGATCGGTCGGATCTGGTCGGATCTGGGCTTTGCCGGCAGAGCTTTGACGTAGGGATCATTCAACGCCTGGACCAAGGCGACGTGGTGAGTTGGACCGAAGAGGTGCCAAGCACGGCCTTGGGGGCCTTGGCTGCTCACCAGCACCCCGACACAGGGTTATGTCACGTCACCATATGTCACCCTGATATCACCCGACCAGAACAAACTGTTCAGACTTCCTGTGTACCCTTGTTGCATCTTGTATCATCTTGTTGCTAGTCACTTACAACACAGGTGGTGGTGACACATCTCCTGAGGTTATTACTGGTGGTTCAACACCTCGGATTCTGGCTGAATTCAGGTGTCAGCAGCCCATGCTTCCAGCTGCTTCCTTGCCCATGTGTCCAGCCGCTTCCCTCTCGCATGTCCGAAACGGAATCATCAGGGAGTACCGCCTTCATGTACTTCAAGTTCTGAGAAGCAAAGGCACCACCTGAGCGTCGCGTCGCCGTCTGTTTTCAGAAGCGTCGCGACGCAGCCGGGCAGTGGCAATGGCTTGAAGATGGTTCTCCTGTGAGAGGGTAGCAAGCCCTTCCGGGACACTGTCCAACACCACGAGACGACGGGCTCAACCTCCCATGGCGTGCTTGCTCCTGGGCGTCCGACTGTCAGGAGAAACCACCTGGCGGCTTCGAGTTCGTCATCTGCGCCACTGCTGCCATGACATGAACATATGCGTAAAGACATGAAGCTGTTGGATGCGTAAAGGCCATGCTGAAATCCACTTCAGTCGTAGGACATCCGAATCGAGGATGGAACTAAATGGAACTAGATGAGCCATGCTGAAAACCTTGATAGATTCCTATGTCGTAAGAACTGCCTTACGCGAAAACTTACGCAGCGCTTACGCGACCGCAGTTTCAGCTTACGCGGGGGTGTTGCTTACGCCGCTGCTTACGCCACCTTACGCCATTGCAGGCTTTGCTTACGCAGCATCGATATGACATAACCTGGAAATGTCTGGCTTACGCCAAAGCTTACGCAGAGCTTACGCGACCGCAGTTTTAGCTTACGCGGGGGGGAGGTTTTCAGCGTGGCTCAGATGGAACCGCTGAAACGCCGAGGATCATCAGGCACTAACCAAGTTGAAACAAAGGCTCTTGCTTGCAAAACCAAGAAACCTGGTCATGTGGATCCTTTGGGAAACAAAGGGTCAAATGATGTCAAGTGTCTGGAAGTATCTTCCAGAACCTGAAAAACACAGGGCTCGTTGCTAGGAAAACACCTCTTGATTCCAGGACCAATAACCTTTACGCTACATGTAGACCTACGTGTAGACCTACGTGGCCGCATGTCCAACCTTGAAGACCGGATCAAATCCAAGGGATCGTTCTGATTTTTCATTTCTTCTTGGAAAAAAACGACCAAACAACTGAAACACATGGAACTGCCAAGGCCTCCACTGCACTCTCCACTCTCCACCTGCACAGCTCTTCTGCGTTCGGTGGCCCACCCGCCTGTGAGACCCAGGCGCCCGGCACAAAGCTGGAGACCGGCTCCCCCTTGCGGCGTGAAGAGCGAAGTACAACAGCGAGGGCTGCGGACAGGCGCACAGCCACAGCCCGGAAGTACAACACCATAAATATCATTAATTAAACAATATAAGGTGTTAAGCGGATTTTTAAGCAGTAGAAGTGTCCAAGGGATCCCGGGTTCTGTTGGTCTTTGGATTGGGTGTGTCTTAGAACAGCTTGTGACACAGCTGGTCGGATCCTTTTGAGGTCCTGTGATTGGCTTCGCGACAAAGGATCTCAGGACCTGATTCATCTTCGACACCAACAAATGTCTAGTATCGAATTCGGGGTCAAACCGCTTGTGCCTTTCTTTCGTGTATCAAAATGAAGCTGAGAAACCAACCACTCTGCCTTCGAAACTGCGACCGTTGACCTCCTCCGCTTCGTTTTTCACTCCACACATCCGAACCGTTTTCCGATGCCGAAGCAGGACGACCGACACCGTGGAAGTGAACGAACTCCCATTTCGACCGGGCCCGACGGACCTGGGACACCAATTGACACATCAGGCCGGGCCAAGGATGTGTCGGGCTTCCCACCCCCAAGCTGCCAGAAACGAGGCCACGAACATGGAAAGCACGGACCGGCACGGACGAAGAACGCCTCTGCATTGGTCGCAGCAGGCCTAGGCATTGCTTGCCATGAGTACCGCTTGACCCCAGGTTCGGCGATGTAAGCAGTCACATCTTGCATAGAAACTGCCAATAGAAATCCTCACATATGACATTCAGCCGGCTCAAAAGCAAAACTCCAGTTGAAAGGAAAAGATACAGAAGAAGGTAAGTATGGAAAAGTCAACGACCTCTGGCCTATTGAGGGGAGGATCATGTCGCCGCACCCGTCCATGCCGATTGGATGGGGCACCGAATTTTGGTGCTTCTGTGTATCATAAAAAGTATCTAAATGACCAACAGGCTTGGATATGTGTCAAGGAAGTGGACACCCAAAAATCATGGAAAAGGGACATTGCAAGCAAGAACATCAAGTCTAAGGCCTGAAGCCATTGGACTTGTTGTGTTTGAGTGGATTCTTGGATGCCTCTGATGAGCAAAAGGTCCCCAATCTTGTGGTTGCAACATAACTTGCTCTATCTTTCTTCCAACACACTTCGATTCCATACATCCTTAACCATCAAGCCAAAAGAAAAAAAACACCTGCGACCACTGTATCAAATGATCCTCATCCATCTTCCAAACATCTTGAGCTCCCCCTTTCCACGATCGAACACCCGTTGTTTTCAGTGTTTGCACGATCGGGCCATGGCGGGTCCGTCACAGCTTCGACTGGAGAGCTTGGACCGACGTGGGTGTTCATAGGGGGGGGTCTCAAATCGCTGGGGTTAACACTACAGCCACGGAATGGCTGTTCTGTCACCCCCCCATGGCCTGTTCTGCAGGTGCTGTCGGTCCTCCTGCGCGCGGCGGTCTTCCGGCGAAGTGTTCGTCGTGCAACGCAACATCCGCGACGTCGATCAAGTCACCAACAGAGAAGCCTACAGCCATAGAAATACGATGTGTTTTTTGAACACTGCGCCAAGTAGCGCGCAGTGAGCTGCAAGGATTCACTGGGCGTGAACCAAGCTGGGTCCTATCTGAAATCTGAAAGATGGTACCTGCCAGGCCACACCATGTGTTCTTTCCACTTGGGGCGAGATCCATATCTTGGAAGGTCCAGCTCCAAATCCTCGATGTTCAACTCCAAGATCCTCGTTTGCTCAGAGAGCTCCGGCTTCAGAGAAGACACCTCAACTCCGACTCCCTTGACCCCCACACCCGGCCGCAAACGGACCGGGCTCGCCTGGATGGAGCTCTTTGGAAGCTGCCCTGACCTGGAGTCGCTGCGATGTGTCTGTGGAGGTCTGACCTTTCTGAGGAATGAGGGGTTCCACGGCTTCAGCCGCTCCTTCCGCTTCAGGCCATGTTCTTGCAGTCGTGGTAAAAACTCTCATCGATCCCACCGTTGTGACCAGTCTTTGGACTTGCAAGGTGCTTGTTGAACCTGGTTGAGGTGGGGTGGGAGATGATCCAGTTACTTGGCCTTTCCCCAAGGGCATGCGGTGTGTCCAAACCCTTCCTGAGGACATCTGAGGACCAAAGCCTCGGAAGTGAATGCCAGGAGTTTTGTAGACAGTGAAAAAAATGGCCAGTGCAGGCAGCTCTGCTAAACAAGCAGCCAACCCTGCAAGAAAAATTGCTGTTGATGTCGCTACCACCAGTAAACCATGGTCTTCCTCCACCGTCATGGGCGCACGCCTGCGACTGCTGCGACCGGGACACGCGTTGTTCTCCTCCGCGGAACCCTTGCCTTCTCCACCTGTGGGCGACTGAGGCTGCTAGGCCCTAGGCGTTGTGAGGCCTTGCGAGGTAATAAAGGGTGGGCAGAAAGCAAAGCACTATACATGTTCAAAATTGATTACGTATCGATATAGGCGATCCCAGAATTGATCAACGTATATCGAAGTGTTAAATAGTAATGTTTCGACAAATGACACGCTTGCCCCAAGAGTTATGGACCCTGAGAAGCAGGGGTTTGGGGTCCAAAGCCCTCCTAGGGAGATGCGGTTTGCCTGGTATTCAATTGGAACAATGAACCCAACAACATCAGTGCTTCTTGCGACAAGACAAAATCAATCAACAAGCACTCGGATTGTCGGGCTGGCAATCCTCACAGGTGTTTTTTCTTAATATATTGCCCCTGCATGCCCCTGCAATTGTGCAATTTGCAAAGCGAACAACAACACCAAGTGTGTATTTATACTTAGTCTATATACAATAATCTATATATCTATTGTAATCTATAGATATCTATAGTCTATAGACTAAGGATAGTACTAATTATATATAGTATATATTATATAGAAGTTGGACAACAAGGACTTCCTGCTCTGTGGGAAAGCCAGGACGCCGGGTGGCGTTGGGCGCCAATTAAACATTCTGGCGCCATCGCAGGAAGTGTCTCTCATCCATCGCACGTCTGAGACCATTCATTTGTTGGACTCGCTAGTCACGCTAGTTCAAGTGGACAACAGGGATTGCTCCAATTGACGCCTGTGGTTTTTGACACTGAGGAATTTGGGTGTGCTTTTGTTGTCCGACTTGTCCTTGGACAGCCTAGAGATTCCAACTGATTAGTTTGACTCCTTCACAGCAACATCTACCGTTCATCATCAGCACTGACCGTGATGGTTGCAGTGTGAGAAGCACCTGACCATACCAACCGCATGGTAGAACTGCATGTTCGTGTGGTTCTCAACACCAATGGGCAGCAACACCTCAACCAACCACAACCACTACCGATACACGTCAATACTTCAATCTTGCTTGCTCCGTCCTCGGAGATGCCCATCCGTGCGCGCCCACTGATTTGCGCCAGCTCACCCTAGCGTCTAAATCTACCGCAGGGAATGGATCAACATGTACAACCCCCACAAATCAAAAAAATGGTCAGCCCCAGAACAATCCGAGCTCCTGATGTTCAGTCCTACCATGGTACAGTATATATTCACTTTGCTGAAGCTGGCCCTGCCTCTACATCGACCACTCCAAACGCTGAAACTCACACTCGCAGACTAAACACATCGCCACCCTCGGGTGGGCCTAAGAAGACGGTCTGGATCTCCATATCCGACTCCGACTCCTGAACCTCGCCTCGTCCCGGTCGTTCGATCCAACGGAAGAGACGATGAACCGCGTGGAACGGGCCCTGGGCCCCGTTGCGTTTGCCCGGGGAAACCAAACGCGTTGAACGGGCTAAAGCAGCAAACAAATCCTAAAGTTCGAGGGGACGGAACCAACGACACCTCAGCAATCCTGGATATATCGTTACCGCTTTTGTTAAAACATGGACACCAGGGTTAGGGGTGTAGTATCTTGAAGTGTGATCCTGTGCCCCATTATATTTTGTTAACCCCAATCAAGTCTATACGTGAAACACACAATTTGGGCACTACCAAGACGCTTGCAGGGAAAATATGAGGAGCGGCCAAATCTGATTTATCTTCTTCGGCCCCAAAAAAGACGTTATCGGTTTTGAGGTGGACCGAATCGTTTTACAGGGTTGCATGCACAATCCTAAACCTGTCCAAGTGGTCTTCGCATGTTTCACTCGTGGCTAAGTATTTAAATCTCACATCCTGACTGGCAAATGTTTGAGGAACTCCCAGTAGTTCGGCGTCCTTTCCAATGGGAAGGAGCGAATACCCCCAGCAACTCCAGTACTTTTGTGCAGGCATAGAATCATAGCACAATCACAGAACTCCATTTACAAAAGTTTGTTCAGCAGTCATCGTCCAAGCCCAGTGCCACAAAAATCAAGACCAAAACGAGTCTCACATCTTCTGCCAAATGCGGGGACCCTCTTTTTCGGTTCCCAACCACCTTTGAACCATCCACCTCTTCCCATCGTCCCCCCCTCCCTCCGCCTTGTGTGCTTGCGGCGCCCTGGCGCGTGCAAACCGTATCTCTCCGCCCCCGGATGACCTGGAAGAGACCCACTTGGAAGCAAAACAGTGACGTTTTGGGGGGAGGATTTGGGAGGAAATTTGTCCATACTCCACATACCTATCAGGTTGCATGTGGGTCTCAAGTGTACCCATCGTTTGGGGTCACGAGCTCATGCTCATCAATTGGTGGCCCGCGACGATCGATCGGTGTCCCCGGCCTCCTTAACGAGTCTGGAAAATCTGTGAGTGCATCCGACTGCTAGGGCCTCCTTACATGATATCTCTCTGGGACTCTGAGTGCACCTCACATCCTCTCACCACTCATCCTTCAATGTTTCACACATGATATTAGGATTCCCTCATGGTGAGGGCATCACCCACATGTCCTTTGGGTAAATGATTCTAATGATGGTACATGTCACAAACCCAAACACTCCAGTATTGCGGTTGAGCTGAATGGAGGTCAACGGCCAGTCCCATTGCTGCTCCGTGTCCGTCCATGAACTTGTCTCGGTTCGGAGAAACTCTTCACCGCGCCATCGCGCCCACTCCTGCACCTCCGGAGGTTCAATGTTCAACTTAGGTCAAGTTTCCCAAACATCTCGGAACCAAATCATGAGTGCGCGCGTGAACTATTTATGCATTTTAGATAAGGAACTTCCTATAGCTTGTTTACTGCCTTACTTCCAGAAGTAGGCACCTACTTCATTAAGTAGGAGCGGGCTCAAAGAAAAAGCCACGAACCGATACCCCCGGACCGGTCCCCGGTCAACGCGAAGGCGTTTTCAGGCACTCGTCGAGAGTGGGGACGGTCCATTCCGACACCCCTGTTCCTATCCCAGACGCGACGCATGGGACTGCCATATAGGACTGCCACCCCATCGACCCCAACAAAAACCCACCACCCCAACATATATATATATATATATGGCAGTCCGGAGCCTCTGGGTATCGGTCGTATTCCTTCCTCATACCCAAAGGTCCGTACTTGGGGCTTAGAATCCGTCACTGGTCGCCGCTGGCGGTGTGTTTGGCGCCGTTTCCCCGCGCCGCGTGGTTTCCCCGCCGGGGTAACCGTTGCACCGCGCCTCGGGAGAGCTCTCCAGCGCTCTCCTGACCCCGAACTGGCCCGGTCAGAAGTGGTACATCAATCTAGTAGAACGCTCCACATCAGCATCCCAGACCTGGGTGTCCTGCTCAGCCCACTGGAAAGAGGTCCAGAGAGGATACCCAAACAGGATGGTCCAGGTATGCTGCGAATTGGTGCAAAGAGTGAAGAGTTTGGACGCGAAGAGGAAGAGGGACCTGACTGGCGCCAGGGTGATCATTCGGACACCAGCGAACAATTCATTCCAAATGATTCAGGGCAAAAAAAAGAACTCTCCGGATTTCACTTATATAGTAGTCCATCTACCATCTACCCAATCAAGCAGTGATTGATTGGTTCAGTCAGATCACTTATATACTCACTTCCCTTGTCCAAAACATTCGTGAGCACCGAGCCCAAAGCTTCGCACACCAACTCCGGCGCTTGGTCACGCGACTGGTCGCCCGACCCCGCGGGGTACTGCTGCACCAAAGGGGAGGAGGCCCTGCACGCGCATGGCGTGGCGCATGGCGTGGCGCATGGCGTGGCTTTCGACGACCGAGCCGAAGGCCTCTTTTGGCTTGGCAGACTTGGCAGTCCGGCTGTGGTTGGATCTATGACTGACCATCTATGCAGGTTAAAATCTGTCCTGGTTGGGTAGTCTCTAAAATAAGACGGCTGAAGTGATTAAGATGATGACAGCCTTTTGGAGACACACAGCACTGAAGGTCAGTAGATGTCAGTAGCCAAAGACTCCACGGACTCCACGTATCTACATACATTGGGGAGGTTGAAAGTGGGGCACATCATCTTCCAGTATCTTCTGGTCCGGAGTGTCTGGGTTAGAGTGTAGCATGTCAAACATCAGAGTCATTCCTGTTAGAAAGCAGTACCTGCAACTGTTGGCAATCCGTTTTCGAACAAATGCATGTCGTGGATTTCATTCGTCATAAGTCTTTCACATGAAACTGCGCCTGTGGTTGAAATGATCTATCAACGCACACACACAGAGTGGAATTTGGTACTAATTACGGTAGAACTTTGGGAATTATACACCTTCCCGTACCTAACGGCAGCCCGACCGCGGATGAGTCGACGACTCGACCCTGTCGTAAGCTCCGCTCCTGTCGGGGGAGGCGGCCGGAGTGGCCAGCGTGGGCATGGCCAGCGCGTCTGCGTCGAGACGGTGCGTCCCTGTGGAGTCTCCGTTGAGGTGAGAGTCTTTGGGCTTTGGGCTTTACAAGTGAGGACAGGGTTGAGTTGGATTCTGTAGATCCCAGAAGTGACCACTTTTGGCAACATACCACTGTGGCATGGTAAAGCACTGTCACTGGTGGGACTCGTGTCAAGGCTTTTTGTGTCATCCAATTAAATCGGCGATTCAAGGTCCGCCTTAGTCTAGGGCAGCAAACAAGCTCAAACTGCGCAAAGTCAGCTCAAAGCATCAAAGCTCTGCAAGTCAGTTGTGCCCCTTTACTTGAGTCGAGTCAAAATAAAAGTATGGTCAGTATGACGGGCAAAGTGTCCTTTGTTGGTTTCTACATCCTGATTCCAAACAGTACTAAAGAACTGACATGAACTCACTATACCAAGTTCAGTTTCTATACGGTGAAACGGTCAAAGTCTCGTGCATTTCTTCTAAAGAGATAATTAGTAAACCAATTACAACATTACTTCGCTGACAGGCCGCAACCCGCAACCGGTCATCCTCATCCGCCCAAAACGGTCTCTCCAACCGCCCGTCTCCGGGACCGTCTCCACAAGACCGTCGGTTCCAGCCACCGGGGTGGGACCGCGCACGGGGTTCACAGCCCCAGTTCCGAAGTGTCTGATAGACTGCCAAGTTGATTCAAGGATCCGTCCGGGTTGGATCGTGGCTGCCCCACTCTTGGCCATGCCCCGCACAACCATTGGCCAAGTACTGGTTCCTACCAGTACTGGTTCCATGTGATTCCCAGCGGTGTATCGAAGCGACGGTCCACCCGCGAAGTCCCGCTGGTTCCGCCTGACTTCGCCTTCAGCGATTTCTGCACGCCATCATTGTCCATGAACTTTTCTAATCCTTGGTGGAATGACCAAACGCCAACCTGCTCTTTGGCCTTCATGAAGATGTATACCCAGAGACGTCAGAGCCTTTTCGGGTGGCTTGGACAAGCCAGCAATGACCAACACTTACCAGTTCCAGGTTGGAAGGGGCCAACCTGTTTTGGGGCTCCAGAGATCACTGTTTCACCCGCATCCAACGGAATATGGTGAGAGAAATTGGGAAGTGCAGCAGGAACGGTTTGGGGCGGTTCCAGGAACGATCAGCTAAATGAGTGCGGACACAAAGGTGGCTAGAATGGAGGGGGTTGGCAGGATTCCGAGCAAGAATGGGTGGATGGTGGTGGATATGTGGGTGGCCCTGGGCATTCGAAAACAAACACTGGAACATCTTGTAGCATCCCCGGCCTCCAAACCAAACAAGACTGGACACGGCAAATGCCAAGGAACGGGACAGGGCACCCTCGCTGGCGCCCTGGCTCCGGGCGTGGGTCAGATGCAGCGTAAAGAAACAGGAACTGAGAAGGAGCAAGAGAGATTGAGCAAACGCCATGAAGTATATAAGCATACACCATAATTACTTTATTTTCATGTTTGCCCTAGAAGTCGAACCACCATTTATTTACAATAATAATTAGTATGGCCTTTACTACCGAACAACCATGGTTTTACTCTCGCTTTTACACTACAAAACGAGATCAACCATTCTTTAAAAACAGTCTTGGACTTCCAGGGTACAATATTATTCCCAATGGAATCCAGTTACCACTATATATATAAGGAACCAGGGATGCTAGGTCTATGGGTTTAGTCTTTGGAACCGCTGGTTACCAGCTATAGCGGTAACTGGATGCCCTGGGATCAATTTGTTGAAGATTTTCCAAACTGCTGGGAACCCTTCCGGGAGGTTTCATGAGCAGTTTGGGTGATGGATGCTGCTGTCGGGTGTTCAGGTTTGACAGAACCTCTGGTTCCACTTTGAACATTTAAAAAAACGCCACTCCAAAAAGGCAGGTATGGTCCACTCCACCAAAAGTCGTTACAGTGCTCATGCGATATCGGTCCTTGGTCGGTGACAGCTCGATCTTCGCTTTGGCCAATTCACCCAGTGGAAGCCGATACAGTGTGAACACTCCAAAGAAATAGAATATAGAACTATGGCATCATTCATTCAGCCTTGCTTCTCCAGTGTATGCATATCCATCCACCCAGTAAGTCTAAGTATGTGCAAAGGATACCCCTAGGAAAAGGTCAAACTTTGCCAAAAGACACTGAACTAGGGGCCGAACTTTGCCATGCGCAGGGGCTGAGCATGTAGGGTAGTGAGGCACCAGATGGTTCACACATCGATCCTGAAGGATAAATAGTTAATAGATCGATGATCTATGACATACTTCGTTCAGCGAAGCAAATATTTCCTGCTTGTGAGGGATACAATTAGAGATGGCCCGTGGTCAGTATTCAAAAAGCACATCCACACAAACAAATGGTTCATGGATGCACTATACCTGTTCTCGACATGTGTTGGACCTTAATAAGACTGTTTCTGTGCCAGCCGCCTGTGTGATGCTCAAGCTGACTTGGAAATCCTTTCAGGGAAGGGGAATGCTGGCCTGACTGATGCCAATTTGATAAACGACCAAGGGAAATGATCTGGCCTTGAATTTGATGAGATTGGGTCATGGTGGTGCGTGGTTCCAGCGTGGCTCCGGCGTGGTCATCCTAAACTTTGGCGTGGTCATCCTATTCTTTGCCGTGGTAATCCTAAACTTTGCCGTTTAGCAAGAATGTGGACATGCTTTGATCAAAAAAAGAACTTTAATACACGCGGAAAAGAAAGTGTGGATATTCACTGATGATCAATCCATTGGCAAATTGTTTGGAAACAAATAATCGATTCCCAGGGATTGCTTTACAAAAAAGTTTCTGTTGTTCCACTCTGGATGCCTTTCAGTTCCCATAGCTGTTGCATGGCAGGATGTTGTCGATGAAGTGGCGAGTACATACGCTTCTTCTACGTATTGCACGTACTTGTCTACATGTGTGATGATGGAACATGATAACATCAGGGTGATTGTTTTGAAAGGCTGAGCTCAAAGTCATCAAAGCGTGCACACTAGCGATGGTATTATATAGTGTGAGTGCTGGTTGGACGTGGTCGGGCGTGGTCAGCGTGGCCGGTGCAAAGTTTAGGTTTTCAACCAAAGCACGTGCAAAAGATACCCCTGGGACTCTCTGGGTCCATGTAATGCCGGTATTATATACCTGCCACACACCCCATGCACATCCAACCGCAAGGCTTGGGCCCTTGTGGTCGGTCGACTGTCCGACCGCACCTCATGTGCCAGCCCAGGCAGCCAGGGTGTGGGCATGGCGAACTCATGAACGATGGCGAGGTCCCGTGCCGCGACGCAAGGGTGCCGGCTCCACGACCGGTGGGTCGGCCCCGGGGAGGTGCCGAGCTGGAAGCATCGAAGGTTTTGGAGTGAACTCGGTGGACCGTGTTGGCTGGTTGATGCATGGCCAAGCTTTGGTTTTGGGGCAAGCAGCTGGCACGAGAATGGGTACAGCTGTCATTCCATCATACCCCCCCAAAAAGCATGGCTTGTTCGACGTATCCTTGCTGGGCCCACACACCCCAAGTGGATAGGGATTGGCGAGAAGTGACTGTCCCAGGTTGGGTTCTGCTCTGCTCAGCCGCTCATGTCTTGAGTTTTCAGTTCCACTAAGCCAAAGGACTAAAGGACTTTGGTTTCTGGACCCATCTCCACGACCTGGTTGTTTCTAATGCTTCATGGAAGTCGGAGGCCAGTGACTCAGTGACCACTCGGTGACTGGTGGTGAGCGAGTCACTTCACTTCGTCAATTTGGGCTCTGACACGTGACAAACGTAGTCTACAGCTTGAACTTTGGCGGCTGCTTCTGCACCGTGACGTGACTCAGGGCGAATAAATGAGTCAATGAGGAGAACCGCAAAATACTGCAGACTGCGGGCGCGTGAACGCGTCTTGGACTCGAACAACAACAACAACAACAACAACAACAACAACAACAACAACAACAACAACAACA